CGCTCTCGTTACTACGGTAATAGGCAAGTCATCACCCCGCCACTCTCCCCACGGTGACGCAACACGCAACGCGCGGTGACATAACACGTCATGAGGTAACAGCGTTGCTAGGCTATACGCAAACACGGCGACGTGGCACCAGTTCCTACTGTGACATGGCACTCATTACGTAACAGACAGGCCATTGACGTTTGAGTCTTCTGTTCACTAAGGGTTGGACGGCAAGTTCTTTTATTAGTTGGTTTTCATGATCCACAATGCGGATTCTGTATTTGATGCNAGACAAGCACTGCAGCTATATAAGGGAACTGCACAGCTGCCGGAGTGAGTTAACTTGTAGCCGTCCCCGGATTCAGTTGNAAGATCTTCGTGGAGAGTTTGATTTGATACGAACCATGGAGCATTAATTATGCAACGTAGTATTTTGACAGGAGTGTTTGTATGATTTTGGTGTTGGATGGTTTACTACAGCCCCACAGTTCTATACCGTACGTCCATATGGGTGTGAGTATAGTTTTGTAAATGAGAAGTTTATTTTCCAATGATAGCTGGGATTTTCTACCAATTAACCAGCTCATGTTTCTCACTTTTGTTGATAGTTGTAATCTCTTGGCCTGGATATGGGTCCTCCACGTGAGCTTTTGATCAAGGTGAAGTCCAAGATATTTGACTGTAGATTGTATAAGGATTGGTGCATTGTTTATTGTGATTTGTGGGCACGTGCTCTGTTTTGTGGTGAATGTTATTTGCACTGGTTTTTTGACATTCACTGTGATTTTTCAGAGTTGTAGCCAATCTTGGAGGGCATTGAGGTATTGCTGTATATTTTTTTGCTGCCCTATTAGGGTTTTCATGAGAGGACAGAATTGCAGTGTCATCTGAAAACATAGCCAATGTTATGTCTTGAGCTTCGGGTATGTCAGATGTGTAGATTAGATATCAAAAGGGGCCAGGAACACTACGCTGTGGAACCCCCAAATTGATGGGGTGGTAGCCGGAGTGCGTATTTCCAATTTTGACCTGAACATGTCAGTCAGTTAAGTAAGATTTTATCAAAAAAGGCAAGATATTTTTTAATTTGTATAGTAATCCCTGGTGCCATACTTTATCAAAGGCTTGTTGGATATCTAAGAATACAGATGCACACATCTTCTTGTCCTCCAGGGGTTCTTTTATTTTGTTAGCCAATCAATGACACTGGTAAGTTGTTGAGTGGTGATGTCTGAATCCGAACTCTATTGGGGAATGACGTCTTCTGCTGCTATCATTTGTTTTATTCTGTTTATTAGTAATCATTCGAAAGTCTTGGACATCATAGGTAAAAGATTGATTGGCCGATAGGAAGAAGCTTCGGTTGGTGGTTTACTAGGCTTAGCAATCATAATTACTTATGCGAACTTCCGTTGTATGGGGTAGTAACAGAGTCTTAACATACTATTGTATATCGTTGTAAGGAGTACTATTGCTTTTGTGGGAAGGTGTTTAAGTATGACACCTACTAGTAGGTCGAATCCCAGAGGTTTGTGGGAATGCATTTTAAGGAGTTCATGATGGACTTCAGCTGGAGAAAAGGTCATATGGGTAGAGTGAATTGACAAGGAACGTCCAGGAATTTTAGGATTTTTGCCCGATTGATGTTGTCATCTTTTCCAGATGAGAAGATTTTTGCTAGGTGATCTGCAAAGATATTCACTTTTTCTTGGTCGGTTCTTGCCCAGGTTCTATTCAAGGGTCTAAGTGGTGATGTTGCGATGATAGGCCTTTGAAACTTCTTTGTTGCCTTCCACAGTGAGTGATCTTCCGGAGTTAACTTTGATATATAATGTCTGAAGATGTCGTTACAGGCTGATTGTATTGTGGTGTGTAGTTGATGGGTGAGCCGATTGAGAATTTTCTTGTCTGATGGGTTTCTCGTTTGTTGCCATCTTCTGCGAGCTGTTCTTTTTTCTGCTACCCATTTTCGAATATGTAGAGGTATGTTTTGACTTTGAGAGACTATTTTTTTGGGGCGTGGTGTCTCTTGCCAAGCAGCCTCTGGGTTAGTTGAGTTAGGTAGTGTACTTCTTCGAGCTCATGATTATCCTTAATTCTGTGGTTTACTCTGATGTTTTTATTTATGATTTCTTGGAAGAGTTGCCAATCGGTACGACTGGATCACAATTTAGGTTGTGGTTCTTTCCAGATTACAGTCATACTTAGTGTGATGATTATTGGGCTGTGGTCAGAGCTTAGGTCAAAATTAGACTCTATATGACTGTGAAGTTTGGATATTCCTTTAGTTATGGCGAAGGCGAGGAGATCAGGAATTTTTTTCTTGTCTGTCAGCCAGTACGTTGGTTCACCAGTAGAGAGCATTTGTACATTCTGCTGTAGTATAGTTTGGAGAAGATTGCGTCCTTTAGGTGTTGTTAACCTGGATCCCCATGCAGTATGCTTAGCATTCTAATCACCAACAGCAAGGAATCATGGTCCTAGTGACTTGAGAAATTCTGCATATTCTTGTGGCAAAATAAGGTGTCGTGGGTGGCTGTAGACAGCTGCTATGTTGATGTGCCAGGAGATTGCTGGTACTGTTATTATAGCACTTTGTATTTTAGTAGTTATTTGGGGTTGCCGTACCTGGTGCTGTAGGTTAGACTTAATTATGATGGCTGAACTGGTGTGGGTGGTTCCCTCAGGGTGATTGGCATAGTAAATATTGTAATTTGCAATTTTGACGACAGTTCGATCCATAGCATGACTTCCTGAGACTATAAGGATATCGATAGAGTTGATTTGTAGAAACAATGTAATTTCATGCACATGATTGGTTATTCCGTTGGCATTCCAGGCTGCTATTCCAATAGAGGTAGCCGCTATTTATATAATTTATTGATCATAGTAGTGAGCATGCTTAGTATCATGCTGTTCTGGTTTAGAAGTTGACTGAACATGGTTTTGAATTCATTTAGAAAGTTTCCCATTAAGGTATTGAAGTCTTGTTTATTTCCATTTTGAGTGGT